AAACCATCTCAGGCCTGTGTAATTAGTGTTTACATCATATGGATTAACTACCCTTAGGCGTATAGATGATCCAGAATTATCTGGTTTAATGTTCAAAAATGCTAACATCTCCATGCTTGAGGTAGTGACAATCGTCCAAAACATCTTAACCCACAGTTTCTAACACAAGTCCTTCTTCGCTGGGATTCGATCCAACAGCACAAATTCTGCATAACAGAAACTATTTCACCATAGACTATTTCGACCATCCTAACCATTACCTGCCATGGGTTAAATTCCTAAAATAAAATGAAAAAACATATTATGGCAATATTTCAATTCGTAATAGATTATTCCGTTAGGGACTCGCAATCACTTTCTGAGTGATCAACATGTTTGAAATATGAATAATCAAACATGTTTTTTTCCTCATCTTGTATTTATGTGTTCTTCCTCATCTTGTATTTATGTTTTCTTCCTCATCTTGTATTTAACTTGAAGTCTTGGATGAAATAAAATGAGTTAAATAAAATCAGGTTTATGATTCTATGTAAACTATATTCCTGGTTCACCCAGATATTAACACGATAAAAGCTATTTATGACTTGTCCCATATCCAAGAACCAGAACTTCAATATGTCCCAACATGTTTTAATTACTTCGATATAGCCCAAGAACCCGGGCTCGGTATTCAAAGACAGGATATTTTGCAAGCTATTGAACTTGAAACAATATGACTGAAAGGCAGTTTCACCTGGTGGAGAAATAAGAAAATAAGGTTAATTGATCTTATTTATACATGGGAATATCCGGAAATCACTTCTCCAAGCCTGAAACTTGAACCTGTAAACTGGAATACGATTGGATGGCTCGTAGAAAAATGGAATAGACTCCAAAGAAAGAAGAGATATGTGATTATGTAATTGACTAACTAAGGAATACGCAACCAGCCTTTGAAATAACAACTCAAATCTGTTAATCGAGAAATAATTATCTACACACGTTATAGAAACAGAATATTGAAATATATGGAAGGGTTAACATAAAATACAATACGTGTTGCTTATCATTTTGTTACTTTCTGTCTTACAGCAATAATTATATGGTACATTAATTGTTACAAGTCAACTTTCTGTAATATCAGTTAGGGTTATCGTTTGAAAATGTTTGAGCTTAACAACAGCTTAGTCTTGTTGTTTGTCACCAGGGTGCACAACAGAGCCAGTATAAAATAAGCTCTCCAGCTGTACCACATCAGTCGACAAGCAGGGAAGATTGAACTATAAGAACGTTCGTGCTGTACAGAGCTTGTGGATAAACTTAGATCTTACTGAGGTTTCACAGCTAAAATCTGCAGAACCGTTCTGGTAAGAATTCCTTTCTATCTTTACGCGGGAAATGTTTATCGTATTTGGTTTTGTAAGTTACTAAATTCTACGTTCTGGTGGCAGAGCTAAACCATAAGCGCCTTGGTAACCATGTCGAACTTAATTCAGCCCGCTACCACAAGAACTCGCTCACATGACTGCCTTCGAGGTGGATGTGTAGCTTAAGCTGGCGAATGAAGAGCTTGTGACCGTATTGCATTCGGTTTTATTTCTCGTAGTTTCCTTGAATTAGCATTAGATTTCCATAAAATGATTAGTGATACGGGTAAACTAGATATCGCAAATGTAGTTTAAATGTCGCAAATGTAGTTTAAATATCGCAAATGTAGTTTAACAGTGTAAGAGGTTAGAGTAAAATACTTATTTGATGGTTACTGCTAAGTGACTTTAGTGAGTGTCAAATTACAGTTTGTGGTACATATCAAGCAGGCTATAAATACCATAATTAGTAACAAATTCTAGCCTAAGCAAAATAGTAATTAAGTCATACTATTGAATCTAATACCCCAATCTGATTTTTTTTTCGGTGATCTGTTGTAAGGCCTAGCTAATGATTTCATACTTTTAGTAATAGTTTTAAAGACAAAAAAATAGTGCATTATCACCACGAAACCTTACATATTTGTTGTAATATTATATTCGTAATGAATGCAAACGTGCAAAGTTATCTATCTGTAAGCAAATCAATAACATTTGTAGGGGTGCTAATTACGGTCCTAACATGCAAATGTTCAGGGTAAGCTTAACAAATTAAAACTAGTAACAGTACGTCCATAAGGTCTTCTTTCAAAGTACAGAAACTAGTAACAGTACGTCCATAAGGTCTTCCTTCAAAGTACAGAAACTAGTAACAGTACGTCCATAAGTTCTTCCTTCAAAGTACA